TGGTGGCAGACCGTGTCGCGGTCCGTCGAGGACGACTACGAGTGCAAGATCGTCGAGGTCGTGCGCGACACGTCGGAGCTCGCCGTCGAGATCGAGTTCTTCGGCGGCGAGGAGTGCACCGCCGGCACGTGCCTCGTCAACGCGTCCTGGTACACGTACAGCGTCGAGCGCTTCTTCTCCCGGCCGCTCGTCTACGACGTGACGTGCGCGGACGGCTTCCTCGCCTTCACGACCCAGGACACGTTCAAGCGCAGCGACGCCCAGGCCGGCACCTTCCAGGTCTACGACGCGGCCGACGACCTCGTCGTCGACGCCGTCGCGTTCTCCTACGTCGCGCACTGGCGGCCCACGTACCTCAACGCGTCCATCGGCGCGACCGCGGGCTTCGCCGGCCACCTCGTCGTCGCCAACGCCTTCGGCACGAACCGCACCGTCGCGTTCTCCTGCGCCTCCTGACACGACGGGACCGTCGCTCGCTCGCCTAAGCTCGCTCGACCGCGAAGAAGTCGTTTACTAGAGTAACCTAGCATAAACCGACTTGGTGTCGGGGATTTTTACCTCCCCCCAGGGCGGTAGCGGGGCGGCCAATTTTGCATTTTCTGAGTCCTCTGGAGCCCCTCCGCTGGTAGAACTTCCAAGCTCTCCGATTGGTTCGGTTTTCGTGGCTGAACACAGCCCCACGTGCCCATGCCGTACGCTGAGCCCCCCGCTGAGCCCCGGCCACTGTCGACGGATGGCTGGGGCGAAATTACGAACTCCACGATCCCGACGGAGAACGCCGAGCCCCGTACGTCTGTGTACATATCCGACGTTGTGTTTTCGTTCCTGATGTCAGGAAGACCGTAGGCAACAATCTGCGATATCCCAAGTTGCCTTTTATGTTGAAGTCACATTGAAGTTCAAGCAAACTAAATGTTATTTAGAAAAATAACGCGGACGACCTTGGATACGCTTTAAGGACGCTCCTCCAGCCCAGCGGGGCTGAGAATCTTCCCCTGGTGATGCCTAAGTTTCTCTCTAATGTGCGAACGCGCTGCCAGCGATTTTTATCTGGAAAAAAAGTCGAATTTCAGGGTTCTCGAGGTCGCCGTACTCGGCCGAGCTAGGCATCACAAGGGTGTTGTAGTTCGTGCTCTAAGCTTTCGATCGCGCCTAAAAGCGCGTCCAAAGTCGTCCGGCTTCATTTTTCCATTTGTGGTGCTTGTTCATGCTAGGTTACTCCAGTACGGCAACAAGCTGATCTTGAACCGGCGAAAGCCCCCACTATGGCTGCCTTCGAGGCGCCGCCGCTGCCCGCGCTCGTCGCGAGCCTCGTGCCCGCGGCTCAGAGCGAGGTCGCGGACCTGCCCGTCGCGCAGCGCATGCGCGCGGCCTACTGGCTCAAGCACGTCTACGAGCGCGACGCTACGGCGCGCGGCGACGCGCGGCGCGCGCTCGAGGCGGGCATGCGGCACCGGGCGCACGGGTCGCTCCTGCGCCACGAGTGCGCCTACGTGCTCGGCCAGCTGCGCGACGCCGCCGCGCAGGCGTCGCTCGAGGCCGTGCTCGGGGACGAGGAAGAGGACGCGATGCTCCGCCACGAGTGCGCCGAGGCGCTCGGCGCCATCGGCGTCGGCGAGGCCGCGCTCGCGCGGCTCGCGGGGTCGCCCGACGCGCCCTGGGAGGTCGCCCAGACCTGCGAGA